TCCCACGGGGTTATTTATACATCCCTGTGTCTCAGGATAAAATGCAAGTTTTACTGATCCACTTTAGTGGGACCTGGCGGTCACTCTGTGATGGAAGGCTAATCAGTCTTGGGCAGAGGAGCAAATGCTAATTTTTAATCCTGATTTCTTTCCCTCCCTCCTCTCTCTACCCATCCTCAATTTCCAGGGAGGAGGAGCCCGTGCGCTATGCAAACCTCATGTACGAGAGACGTGTGGTCCGTGGGAACACCTACGCCCTCCACGTTTTACCGTGGGTAGGTGTGAGGGCTCTCTGAGGAACGAACCCCACGGATCTCTCCGTGGAGGAGACGGGCCCAGCCTTCGTGGGACTCAATCCGAAAGGACGTTAGCGGACACTTGGGCAAAATTCACCAGTGGGGCCCAGGAGGGTGGGGAAGTGGAAACAAGAAAAGCTGGGACTTCCTAGAAAACAGGAAAGAATTAAACATCCACATGCCCAGGGTACTCTGTCTCACGTGGTCCCCTGGAACGGATGGGGAGTTTCTGGGGAGCCTCAGATTTGCACCATGTGGCTCCTGACATACCATGACCCCCATCTTTTAGTGGATCACGTGGAATTCCTACATAAGACAAGCCTCCTTCCTCCCCGGGAGTTTACCCCTAGCTTACCCCCTAGATTATTTTGAAAACTTGTATTTCCAAAACGCTTCCTTTTCTTAACCAGGTTAGGAGGGTGGTTTGTAGCCGCTTGGACGTCAGTGGGCAGCCTCCAGAACTGCCAAGCCAGGAAATATTTTGAGGGGCTTCTTTTTTCCTCCGTTTTTCCAGAGTAGCGAACCGGACCCCCTCGAGTTGCAAAGACAGAGGGAAGCCCAACGCAAAGCCCTCGCCCGGAAGCGGGCCAACGAGCAGCTCCGGACCAGGACCCCCGACCCCTTGGAGGGCCGGCGGCATGTGGACGTACAAACAGGTGAGCGCGCCGGGGGAGAGCTTCAGCAACCACCGAAGGGATCGCAGGCAAGCAGGCGCATCCGCACTGGATCCAGAAGGGACCTTCTGAAGCTCTAAATCCAGGCGGTCCTCCCATTCTGAGTGGCCCCACTGGCCTGAAGGGCCAAACGGGGATGTCAAGGTTTACATCCCTCTCCTTGACACAGTGGCTCGGTTCTTGTTCGGATTGCCAATTTAGGCGACAGAGAACGAAACTGAGAGAGTTCCTGGCCTTTGTACGAGCAGGACAGAGGAGGGGGGGAACCTATAGAGAGAACCCAACAGCACTTGCAAAAAATATCATTTTTGGGGGTGGGGGAAATACACTATGGGGCCATACTGAGTAGGGATTCTGGGGTTTGTAGTAAAAAAAAGAGGGTCAGATTTCAAGTTCTACGTAGAAGGCTTTGAAGGTCCTGAAAGGTTCTCCCATCTGTCAGGCCCTGAAGGTTCCTCATTGATAATAATCAGATTTCTGTACTGA